GACAATAACATAGTCTAAGAGGTTCCAGTGGTTTGACCGAGGATGCCTCTATGAAGTTTTAAATTTATTTTTCTGTCCAAAGAGTGTGTTGGTAATAACAAGGTTGTGCAGTGCACATATTGTCAAAAGTAAGATTCCGTTCCTTCTTTCGCAATAGTCCCAGGCCACAGATTGAAATCTCACCCAACTTTTGCATTAAAATCACCCAGGAGGATAATTTTATCTTCCTTGGGTGTCTCTGATAGGATTGTATCCAGCTGAGAGTAAAAAAAATCTTTAATATCTTCATTGGCATCCAGTGTTGGTGCATAAGTGCTTATAATAGTAGCCTGTTGGTTTTTGGTGAGTTCTATTCGAAGGGTTGAGAGTCGCTCATTTATGCCGGTAGGGACTTCTGACACCAGCTTCACAAGATGGTTTTTGATAGCAAAGCCTACCCCATGTATTCGATGTTCTTGTTCAGATAGACCTTTCCAGAATAATGTGTAGCCTCCCTTTTCTTCCTTCAGTTGTCCCTCGCCTGCTCTTTGAGTCTCTTGAAGTGCTGCAATATCGATGTTAAAACGTCACAGCTCTCTTGCAATGATGGCAGTTCTGCATTCAGGACGATCGCTGTCTGTGTTATCTGACAAAGTCTGTATATTCCATGTTCCAAAGTTTAATTCTCTTTTACGACTGTTAGGTGGTGACCTCACTGGGTGTGGTAATCCAGTCAGGGGAAAAGGGAGGCAGGCTATGCTTAGGGCACCTTTTCTAGCCCCTCCCCCATTTCGGGGTGAGCAGAGTGGATCCTAAAAAGGGCTGCTCAGTCATGGATACAGCTGCCGAGCTGCTCAACTGCCTCGTTCCTTGAGTCAGAACGACTGAATCTGTATCCACCGCCCATGTGCCGGATCATGACTTGGGGCTTCCAGATTTCACGATCCTGCCCCCGTTACCATTTGCCAATCGCAATGGGACTTTGGGGGGTTGGATTGGGGTTTTGGAAGTCGCCTGTGTGTGAATTTGTTTTATGTGTGTAGATCAGTGCACGCTGACCAACGCACAGTCTTCGCAGTAGGGCTCTGTTCCAATGGCATGAAGTAGTCCCAACAAACTGGTAGATTCCTATCTGCTGCAGCCTTCATCCGCCTTCACAGCCGTTTTAATATGTATCACTTGTTATCATCCGCCTGTTCTGCTGTTGAGGACTTCTTGGATCATTCTTTGTCTAGCTCCTTCCCTTTGGCCTTACGTGACCCTGCTGGGAGTATGAGATTCCTGACGGCTTCGCTCACAAGGCTTATAGGAACATGCAAGCCCACTCACCACAACAAGGTGATGATCCAGCAAGTGAGATGACCATAACTACCTTGATTGGTGCATTAAGAGGGAAATGTTTCTTCTCCGGGAAAGTTTGTGGGACATTGTAAGCGAGCCAAAACCAGAGGAGGTGAGCACCCAGCACCTGAAAGATGAAGACAAACATTATCCTGTGTCTGGAAAACAGCTGGTTCATTTTAAAGGCATGGAGATGGCAAAGGAGTGCTGGAATGTGTTGTGAGATGTTTATGTACGCACCACTGCCGAGCCCAAGGTCAGGCTTACAAGGCAACTCTGCAGGAGGGTGAGGATGCAACAGCTGTTTGTGGAACTGGAAGAGCGTGGAATGGCTTTTACTGAATTGAATAAAGCCTACATTGTCCTGAACTTGCTACCTGAATCTTGGACGTTGTGGTGGTATCGTTAGAGGCGATGGATGTGGCTGACCTGACCCTGCGTTAGAGCAAGAACAGAAACATCAGCAGAGACAGCATGTGAAGCTGGCGGAGCATCGTGAAAGCCAAGTGGGGGCTGACCTGTGACTGCAAACTGCGGAGATTAGCTCTTGAAGGAGTCAGCGTGCCGAGGCAGCGAGGGAGAAGCCAGAGTGATTGTCAGGTGACAGTGTTTTTGGTGTGGCTCGATGCAGCACCTCAGGAGAGACTGTACTGGCTGGAGATGCTGGCCATAAAAAACATCCCCATTCAAAATAGAAGCAAATAATTTGTCTCATCTGTGGTGAAAGGGACAGTTCCTGAAACCAGAGCTGCTGTGTATACAGAAAATTTTTAACAGCCAAATTATTAATCAATATATCCATTTACATTCCCCCTTTTTATCCCCTCCCCTCCCTCCCCCCCCCCCCCGGGACATCCCTCAGCTCTCTCCGGTTTCTTTGCACATATTATCCTCTGCATATTGTACAATTGTACGTATCATTGCCTTATTCATCATATATTCAACAAATAAATTTGTGGATGTTTATTCAAAACCTGCCAAGGAGTCCAAATCATTTTGTTGTCTTTTTAAATAATTTGTGAAAAGTTCCCATTCTTCCTTGAAGTCACGATTGTCACACAATCTATATGTCAGCTTGGCCAGTTCCGCATAGCTCATCAGTTTTTCTTGCCGCTGTTCTTTCGTTGGAATTTCCTCGTTCTTCCATCTTTGTGCTAACAAGACTCTTGCAGCTGTTGTAGCATACATAAATAAGGTTTTTATTTTTCTTGGCAGGTCTTGTCCCACAATCCCTAACAAAAATGCTTCTGTGGTTTTTTTTACAAATGTCATTTTGAACATTTTTTTTCAATTCATTATATATCATTTCCCCATTTTTTTAACTTCTCTACATTCCCACCACATATCTTCTTCTAAGTATCTTCTTTTTCTTTACATTTCCAACATATGTTTGACCCAGTTTTATACATTTTTGCTATTTGTACTGGTGTGATATACAATCTATACATCATTTTCATATAGTTTTCTTTCAGCAGGGAACAGTCAGCAAATTTCAGATCTACTTTCCACAGCTTTTCCCAGTCCTCAAACTATAGTGTGTCCTATATCTTGTGCGATGGTTCATGTGTTTTAATCCAAGGGCAAGTGCCAGGGTATGTGCCTTGTCTGAGGACACATTTAGAGAATGTTTTGCTAGTGGAAAATTTCCAGTATTGTCTGCTAAGTGTAGCTTGCTTGACAAAAGATAATTACATTGTAATCTTTGCTAGCACAACTTGCTGGATTGAGAAGGATGGCATGGTATGTGCACAAGGTTATCGTGAGAACAACTTGTATATCATGCAGGATACAGCTGAGGTCAGTTCCACTTTTAAAATGCAAGTATCTGCTCAAACAATTCTAGCCAATAGGCCTCTCCACGACAGCTGCACCCATCTCCTACATCAGAGAATGGGGCATTCAAACTTTAGAAGTTTAGCAAAAAATGCCACAGCTCGGCACTGATTTTAATTATTTTAATTTTTTCTGGGTTTGCAGCACTCATCTCGCTTTACAGGCTGTGGGAGCCGGCGTTTGTCCACAGACAGTTTTTCCGGGTCATGTGGCAGAGTCTGGGGGTCTGGGGGCAGAGGAGTTAATGTGTTACTGTGACTCAGACTATGGAAATAATGTATAGACAAGAAGGTCCCCTACTGGAATAGTAGTACAATTTGGATGGTCTCTGGTGGGTTGGAAATCCCGGAAACAGGGGTTGGTATCTGCATCTACATCCAAGGCAGAATATGCTGCTCTGTCTGAATTGAGCAATGAGCTTCCCTATTTTGTGCAGATTCTTACTAATATGAATATAGAAGCCAAGCTACCTGTGACAGTTTATGAGGACAATCAGGCCTGTATATCCATGGCAGAGTCTGAACAATTTAAGTCTAGGACAAAACATGTGGACATAAAATATAGACATGTTAGGGACAAGTGGCACAAGGATTAATGAAACTTGTCAAGCCAGAACATTGCTGACATAATGACAAAACCCATCAGCTTCGAAAGACACAAAGGAATAGTTGAAAAGTTGGGATTAGTGAAGCTAACTGTATAAACACTTCGCACATGCTCTGGTACAAGTTTTTTCCTAAACAGAATTAAGAAGGGGTGTTAAAAAAGATAAAGGTACCCCTGCCCGTACGGGCCAGTCTTGCCAAACTCTAGGGTTGTGCGCCCATCTCACTCTATAGGCCGGGGGCCAGCGCTGTCCGCAGACACTTATGGGTCACGTGGCCAGCGTGACAAGCTGCATCTGGCGAGCCAGCGCAGCACACAGAACACCGTTTACCTTCCCGCTAGTAAGCGGTCCCTATTTATCTACTTGCACCCAGGGGTGCTTTCGAACTGCTAGGTTGGCAGGCGCTGGGACCGAACGATGGGAGCGCACCCCGCCGCGGGGATTCGAACCACCGACCATGCGATCGGCAAGTCCTAGGCGCTGAGGTTTTACCCACAGCGCCATCCGCGTCCCAGTTAAGAAGGGGTGTTAGGTTCCTTTAATTGCCATTAAGGAAAATCTCTTGCACCTGCTTCTCTTCTCTTGCACCTGCAGGTCTTGTGATTACTGTTCAAAGGTCACTGACCTGGCAACTGTGTTCATTCTTGGGTCTATTAAGAGGGGCTGTACACTGCCGCTTTGCATTGCTGCAAGGAAGCTCTGCCAGTTTGATACTGAACTCTGTGCTGTATGTATGCTGTGAGTTGTGCTTCCTTTGCATTTGAAGCCTGCACCTTCTGCTAGGGATCTAGGGGAAGCCTGCATATAGTGTATGAAATGAAACTGCCTTAATACTTTGGACCTGTCAGTAAAGGACTGAACTGACTGAAAAGTTGGAGTCTGACTGAATTTCTTCCAGCTCAAAACTGCATGGTCACGAACCTACACACTTGGAGGGCTGCACATGTTTGGCATATGCCAGCACTGGGATGGTACCCAGTGGCTCCCCCTCCCAAGCTCCATGCGTTCTTCTGCATAGGCTCAGTTCAGAAGGGACAGAAGACCCTGATCTGCAAGGGATGGCCATCCACACAAGGTCAGCACGCGGTCAGGGCGTAGGTGGTCTGTTAAAATTTTTATGCCATTGGCCAACCAACACTAATTAGACCCGGGAACAATTATTCTCAAATACATCAAGTGGGAGTCAATTCTGGATGTGCTTAATTCGAAGCCAGTACACAATTGCCCAAACAGCTGGAGATGAGTTCACTGGTCATTTTATTAATTTTCAGGACGGCAATATGAACGAGGAGTTAACATGATGAGGTTCAGATTCAGATCCAGCGTGAGTGCTTCATTATTTTCAGTATTGTTAGGGTGTGCCTCCAAGTAGACTGCCTCTTGGGAACGAAATTCATGCACGAAGACTTCCTTCACCTTTGTATTCTCCTCACTGCAATTTACCTCCAGCAGGGGCTCTTGGGGCTGACAGTAGACCCTGAGGATCAGTTCGTGCGGAGCCCTGGGCAGGGTGATGGTTCCCTCCAAAGAGAACAGGTAGAGGCCATCGCAGTGGATTGGGATGGAGCGGTTTAGAACATTTATTTCCATTGTGCCATCCCTCTTTTTAATACCAATCGCTTTCTTATAGGCAATGGAGTCATCTGAAATGCAAGAAAACACAGGAAAAGCCACAAATGTGTTAGTCCCTAACCTACTAGTTTCTCTTACGAAAAAAGGAAATAGGAGGTGGATTGTAAAAGCAAGAGAACAGAAAATCTATAAAAGAAGGTAAAGAAGCAAGGGTCTTTGCCGAAGCTTTTGCATGAAGTAGGGCTTGTCCCTAAGCATACTGGGTGGGGCTGGCTCAAGACATTTGGGCATCTGAAGCCAACCACAAAATGGTGACTCTCACCCACTTTCGATAGGTGGCGGGGTGTATGTGTCTGTTTCCAAGGTGCTCAATCTCACTGTCCCTTAAGAGCCTTGTTCTGCTGGTGGCTGTACAAAGCACAAGGATCTGGCAACACAACAGAGAAAGCGAACTTCTAGGAGCTGCCCTCATTGAAAGGACGAAACTAGAATCATTGAAAGGAGTTGAACTCGCTCTCATATTCAAAAAAGTATGCAAGTTCCCGACTCTGCGCCTAATCTGTTTCTCATCTCTTTGGGGCCACGGGTCTTAACCAACAAGCATTTTCCCTACTGGTTGTTACCTGCCGTTGCTGTTTGCATTTCCAGACTCCTCAATTTTACACACAAACTCTGTCAGCACCTGACATTTCAGCACTTGAAATTTCAGATCTCTGTCAAGAAAATGGTTGCCTCACTTAGGCCTCTGGGTAAAAACTGGCCAGTGTGGTGTTGTGGTTAAGAGCGGTAGACTCGTAATCTGGGGAACCGGGTTCGTGTCTCCGCTCCTCCACCTGCAGCTGCTGGGTGACCTTGGACCAGTCACACTTCTCTGAAGTCTCTCAGCCCCACTCACCTCACAGAGTGTTTGTTGTGAGGGAGGAAGGGAAAGGAGAATGTGAGCCACTTTGAGACTCTTTAGGGTAGTGATAAAGCGGGATATCAAATTCAAACTCTTCTGTCAGAAGTTACCATATGTCTCAGCTCCAATCCCAGCTGGCATTTCCCTCCTGCTTCCTCCAACCTGTCCCCTGACCTCTTTCTCCATGCTTGTCGTTTTTCTCAGGGTGATCTAAAGGGGACAGGAGTCAATTCTCCGCTCTGCCCCATTTTGGAAGTTCCCCGGCTAAAGTTCCTCGGCTGTGCTGGAATCTCACACAAGGCCGGGCTCAGGGCAGCCTAAGAAAGCAGGCCTACCTTTGTGGATAAAATGCAGTCTGCTAACATTCAAAATTTGAGAGCTTGGCTCTTCAAGCCCTAACCCCAGATTCTTGAGTCACAGGGAACTTCAGGGAACTCAGCTGCTCCTTCCCTGCACTTAGCCCCCCTTCCTTGAATCCTTGAGTTTCTCTCTGTCCCACCATTTTCCAAATCTTGCTGTTCTTTCTACCTTTCTGTCCTAAACACAGCATTTGCATTCCATTTCTCCCTGTTGCTCCTGAGCCTCCACTGCGCCTGCTGAACCCCTTGCACACACACACACACACCAGTAATATTTTTCACTTCCATCGATCTCTACCTCTGTCTTAGAAACAAGAGAGTTTAAGCTGTTGGTCCAGGCAGATTGTTATTTTTGAACTACCTGCACCAAATATATTCAAACTAACCATTTTTGTTCTCTGTAGCCTTTTTGTGTGTTTGCTTAAATGCTTTTTATTCTTCTGTATGTTTTGGAAACACTTTGTATACATCTTTTGCTGCTACAATTCTGTCTAAATCTGGGGGCTGACATTTGCATATCCTGCAATGGCAGCTGAAGGGCAAAGTCTCCTCTCACACCCACTTCCAGCTGGTGCAGCAGTCCTGCCCTGGAACCCAAGCAGGCACACAGCTAGGCATGGAGAAATCCATCTGCTTGGCTTCACCTCAGTTTCTCATCTTATGTTCAGTTCTCCACATTTCTGCATCGGTTTGTGAGTATTATTTTTTAAAGTCCTCATGAAAGTTCATCAGCAATCAAATGCACGTTTCTTCTAGGCTGCACGTGGCTGTAGGCAATTTTGCCCGATACACATTTTTTGCAAGCCATTTCCCTTGACATAATATATTTTATATATTTATTTCCTAAATGTGCATTTTTAATTCACACATTCATCTAATATACAAATTTTTGTACATATTATTTGGTCAGAGAGCCAGTTTAGAAGAATACAGTGGTACCTTGGGTTAAGAACTTAATTTGTTCTGGAGGGCTGTTCTTAACCTGAAACTGTTCTTAACCTGAAGCACCACTTTAGCTAATGGGGCCTCCTGCTGCCACTGTGCCGCCACCGCACAATTTCTGTTCTCATCCTGAAGCAAAATTCTTAACCCAAGGTAATATTTCTGGGTTAGTGGCATCTGTAACCTGAAGCGTATGTAACCCAAGGTACCACTGTATCTGTTTTTTGGTCCACATATTGTTGGAGAAAGTGCAAATTCGGTAGGCTTGTGTTAAATGTCTTACTGATCTCCCCACCCCTGCGCATCCTTGGCTCCACCCAGAACACCTGCCATTAGCTGAACCAAAAGCTTTCCTCCTCCTGAAGGCTGCCAAGCGCAGCTTCAACGTGACCTTCATTCTACCTCTTATCTCTGCCCTGCTCAGGTATCAGGCTGTTTGCAATAAAAGGGAATGGAGAAGAAACCAGTAGGAATTATTCTCCAACTGTTTCAACCTAAATTCATTCTTCTGCCTCTTTCACTGGAACAAGGTGGGAGGGAAGGAACAGGCAAACCCGAGTAGGAGAGGGTGAAAATGGTTCTTCTCTTCCTGGTAAAGCCCATCTAGATCATTTCCCTGCCTGGATGTTCACTAGAGGAGCAAATGCAGAGCCCGGGAGAGAGTGTTCTTCTCCCTCATGCAGCCTGGTCAGAGAATATTCATTGCTGCTTCAGTTCCCTCTGAGCAAATTGGGTTGGAGGGAAGTCAAGATTGGAAGCATCAACTGGTCATGGGGGAGGAGAGAACAGTGCAACCCGCCTCAAGCCTTTGGAATAGGGCGAAGGAGAAGAAGGAGGAGGAGGAGGAGAACTCACACTTGATGTAGATCCATTGTGCCTGTGGGTCTGGACTCTGAAACACAACAAAACATGAGGTTATGAAAGGTGCCTACAAGCTCCAGATGGAAATGGAGACATGATGGGACACCAGGGAACCAACATTATGGGGCCTTTTGCATGGGAAGTTTTAAGAGGTCTCAACTGCAGTCCTTTAGTACAACTATTTCCCGCAAGCTACAGAACTCCAGAGCACTGCCTGTACAGATCCACTGCAGGTGCAACTCCTAGGGGCTAAGGTCCCTTCACCCCAAAAAAAACCTATATGAGGATGCTGGGGCCCCCTAAAGTTGATGAACGTTGCCATTTAAATGGTGTGCATGCACCATAATATTTTATCCAAGTTGGCACCCGGATTCACTGCCTCCCCCCCCCCCACGAGAGATGCTGGGAACATTGGCCTCTTCAGAGGCAGTGCACAGCACTGGGATAGTGGAGTGCTACTAGAGAGTAAAACCTCTGTGGGCTGCAAGGTATCTACTTCTGTGTGTTTGTGTTCAGAGGCAGAACAGGGAAAGCTGAACTCTTAGTAAACACCAGAGGGGTCAAGAATGATGGCCGCAGGATAGTTAATATTTTGCAGGCTTGGGGATTAGAGCAGTTGGCGGCATCTCATGCATAGCACACACACACACACCCCAGCACAAGCCTGTACAGTAACTTCACTTTGAAGACATCACATATACAGTAACTCCAAAATAGCCATGATGCTATCCAGTATTATTTCCTGCCTTTGTTTTAGTTATATAACTGGATTCACATGCCCATAACATAGACTGCGGTATTATTAAAATTTTCTTTCTCCGTGTGTGTGTGTATCTAATATATATCTGCCATGTGTCTGATGAAATGAGTTTTAGACTGAAACAGTTTATACTACAATAGATCTGTTAGGGTTGTGTCTAAGGAACTCATATTTGGAGTAGAACCATTGAAATCACTTGACTAGTCATTTAGTTGAGTAGAATCTATTGGAGCTGTATCTTCCTGGCAGCACACGACAGAACCATGAGACAGGTGTAAAATATACTCAAGCAAGAGTTTTATTTACAACCTTACAAACGCAAAGAATGTGGGTGTTCTCTTTTGCAGGCAAATTCAAACTGCAACTTCTCCTCCTTTTGTAGTCATCACCAGCTGTACCTAATCAGCCTAGAAAACCACACCCAGAACTCACAGAAACAGTTCTTAAAGTTACAATCATCTTTCCTGTTTCTTTGCAGAATGACTCCTAACAGAATCCTTACAGCACAATCCTAACCATGTCTACTCAGAACTGAATCCTTTTGAATTCAGCGGGGCTTCCTCCCAAGTAAGCAGGGTTAGGATTTTAGTCTTTAAGTTAAAGGTAAAGGTAAAGGGACCCCTGACCATTGGGTCCAGTCGTGGCCGACTCTGGGGTTGCGGCGCTCATCTCGCTTTATTGGCTGAGGGAGCCGGCATACAGAGCTGGCATGTGGCCAGCATGACTAAGCCGCTTCTGGCGAACCTGAGCAGCACACGGAAACACCGTTTACTTTCCTGCTGGAGCAGTACCTACTTGCACTTTGACATGCTTTCAAACTGCTAGGTTGACAGAACCTGGGACCGAGCAACAGGAGCTCACCCCGTCACGGGGATTCGAACCGCCAACCTTCTAATCGGCAAGTCCTAGGCTCTGTGGTTTAAACCACAGCGCCACCTGCATCCCTTAAGTGAGCATAAGGCTATTATTTAGACTGCAGCAGACTGGCACAGTCCCCCAAGTACAGTTTTCCAACTGTACTTCCAAGCATAAAGAGCAGCAACATATTCCCTGGTTCTTTCTGTTAGAAGACACCTCCAGAAGGCTCTGGCACCCATTATGAATTTAAATATTAAACAAACACATTTGATTTAGATCAGGCATCCCCAACCTACCACCCTCCAGATGTTTAGGCCTACAACTTCCATGATCCCTAGCTAACAGGACCAGTGGTCAGGGATGATGGGAATTGTAGTCCAAAACATCTGGAGGGCTGAAGGTTGGGGATGCCCAATTTAGATGTTTTTAATATAAAAAGATCCCTAATGTTCTGAACCAATTACAAAGATGATTACAATTTCACAGCTTAAAAAAAGAGCAAAGGACCAGGGTTTTCCCCTAAACAGCCCCCAAACGGCCAGTGCACTTTGGCATCTGCCTAGAGAGCTCTTGACATTTGTAAATGGGCCTCTTACTAGGGAAGAGGTGGGAGCAAGCGCTGGCCTCCCTTAGTCTGTAGGTGGTGCATGCAGCTGCTAGAGAGTTCTTGTGATCGCGATGCCTGGGGGTTTGGTTACCACTCTGTGTCCTCCTGCTCAACCGCATGTGGTGGTGGCAGATGCTCTTTGTGTTCTGCAAGCAACCAAACATACAGGTAGGTTGGAATGTTGTGGAAGTATCTAGAGGCAGAGAAAACCAGCCTTTATTTTGAATCCAAATGAAGGCAGAATTATGTTGGGAGGAAGGCTTTTAGGCATCATTTTCAAGCTTGCTTTCATTTGCACGGTCCTGGTTTCAGATGTCATTCACAGTGGGACTAATTAGGCTTAGTATATGTACAGAAAGCAAACCAACTATGGATGGTGGTTACAGTATTCAAAAGGCAAAGCAGACACCTTCACAGCAACCTTGCAACCTTCTCAAGGACATTCCCACTTGGTATAGCTAGCATGCAACAACAGAGTGTCTCCAATCCCCGTTTCATCTTTTCTTCTTAAAACTATTGATAAATCCATGATGACAGTTTGTTTGCTCATTCCAACGATCTATATACTGTTTGCCACCATAATCTCTAAACCATGCACAGTAAGCTTACAAAAAACATCCACCAGACATACAATGTTTTATCTTGAATTTTCATTCACTGGATACTCAAATGAAAAATAATTTTAATAGATGGACAAGAATGAGAACTCGGTTATCAACTTTAAGACAGATTGTTGAGTTGCAAATGAAAATTATTCCAACCTGTTTGTACTTATTTCAGGTTCTCCCTATCCCCCTTCCTCTGATCACTGTGGCAAAAGCCAATAAAAGATTTGCTTTTCCAAGGTAAAATACTGTGATTATCCTTGAAGTTGTATTATAGAAAATATGGGCCTGAGAGGCCTGGCCACGGGTGGCTGCACTTTCATCAGGTAACATGTCTTCTGTTGGATCCCCATACCTGAGCACAGGCTACTAGAACTAGACCTCTTACAAAAACTGAGGTTCTGTTCCTTGGTATGGGGTGTGGTAAAGGTTTGGTTGCAGCTTTGTGTAAGGAACTAATAAGCGACACACAGGTTTGATATTGGGCATCAACGTTGTTTAGGAGGGAGATAGAGGAGAGAATATACTGTAGGTGATAATGGAATATGGCATGATCTGATCAGTCAGTGAAACCAATATTGACCCATACAAGAGAAACTGTGCTTTAATTGTATCATGGGTGGTACAAGACCCCAATGCAAACTATGGGCTATATCTGCCTCATATAACCAACATGCTTAGCTCTAGTTAATGCGTGGAGGGGTTAAGGCCATAGCATAAGCTTAGTTACACACCTTCACCTTGGGAAGAAGGGTTACCAAAGCCTTTGTTCTTTTTCCTTTCCTTCATGTGAACCAACTAGTAAGGATGTCTAAGCTGGATGCTCCAAGCATAGACCATGTGGCTTTAGCAACATTTTTCTAAATGTTTAGAAACATTTTTTAAACTAAGTTGTACTGCCTGTCTTTTCTTGCTGCTGTACGGAAAAGCACATGCATTTGACCTTTGAAGAGTTTGCAAGTAAACCATTTTTACTTGCTATGCTAAGGGGACGTGGACAACTTTGGAAAAAAGCTAGGAGGAGGGATTTTAAAAGTCTAACAGCCTATATTTCCATGCTCTATTTCGATGCATATTTTGTGATTTTAAATCTCTGCTAGGGCTCTCTTGCCAGAGTACCAGGCACCGAGGAATTCTCTTTTTATACCTATTATTTTCCTTGCCAACCAGCACAAATGTTACAGATAGCATCTAACATGCTCCCCAACTGCTGGTGAGGCTGCTGGGGGAGCATACTTCCAAGTCTGGTGGGAGTACCTGCAGGTCCATACATTTTGGCCTCTGGTTTTTAATGAAATTGCAGCAATTAACAGTGCATGTTCCCTGGGATACTCAAGAGTACGAAGCACCAGCACTGTTTTTTTTCAAATGTTTACTGTAACAACTTCATGGTGAGTTCCGGCACCTTTTTTTTAAAAAAAAAGCACTGGCAATTCCTAAGGAGTTGATTCAATTCTCCCCTCTGGCTGCCTCCACTGGAGAGGCAGGGAGGAGGGGCTGTAGTTTCCAGGTTCCGGCGAGACCTTGTGGAGCTTTTGTGAGATCTCGCCGGAAGCCACAGCCACACAACCCTGGCAAGTGACCCTTGGGCAGCAGCGCTGGGGAGTGCGGGGGCACCTTCCCGTTTCACCTCAGGTGGCAAAATGGGCCACCCCTGCATGCGGGACCACATACAGTAACTGGCTGAAGACCTCTGTCCTTAAAAGTATATTGAAGCCAAGTTCTTAAGGGTCTTGTAAAACAAGAACCTTGAACTTGACCCAGAAGCATTTGGGCAGCACGGGCAAGCTTCCAGGGACTTAGGTGCTGTCTGTCTGTCTCCACCACCCGTCCAGCCTCCGCATTCTGCGCCAGTGGGAGCTTCCAGATCAGGCACAAAGGCAGCCCCACATCAAGGGGATGGAGCAATTCCTCTGACAGGAAAGGCTGGAGGCATCTGGGACTTTTTAGTTTAGAGAAAAGGCAAGTAAGAGGCGACAAGACAGAAGTTTATAAAATTAAACACGGTAAGGAGAGTGGATAGAGAAAAGCTTTTCTTCCTCTCATATACATCCAGTGAAGCTGAATGTTGGACTATTTTGGACTCTGCTGGTCGTGTGCTCATGTCCCAGGAGGATATGGGTCACATCAACGTGACGGGAGACCGGAGTGATAAATCTCGGGCGACGCTGCATTGGGGGAAGGCACAAGGCCTCAGGGTTATCTCCCAACAGGTTCCCCATCTAATTAGAACTCCAGAATGTTGCTTTGATGAGTTTATTCCTGATGAGTTTACTCTAAGAAGCACTTTTGGTTAAGGAACTTTCTTAGCACATCAAAAGGCTAGTATTCATGAATTAGCGACAAAGTTCCCCACAATAAATCTAGAGCAGTGGTTCCCAATCTTTTTGGGCCATGCCCCACCTAAGCATCTCTAAAATCCTGACACCCCTCCCCCCCCGGTGACATATAATTTTTATTATTCAAAACCCCCTACTCACGTGAAGGAAGCCTAAAAGGCCATTAACTTAGTCTAACTCATTCTTGAATTGCCAACATTTTAAATAAAATTTAAATAACCACATGCTTAGTTTAAAACTAAATATTAAGGCATGATTTGACCTGTTTGATAAAAGCAAAATATAGTACAGTTTACTGGTTCCAAATGGACAGCTGTATTCCTCTACCAGAGGAGTTTATCATAGGAGGGAACTAATTAGCCAGTAGTTCAATCCAACTTCTGTTGACAAAACCCACACACTAGAATTAAAAAGAACAAAAACTGCAAAGCTAAGACAGATGATCTTATTTCTTGGACTAGCCCATCATCATGCATCAGATTGTTACCTTTCTCTCATGGACCTTTATTTTGTTCCATGTATGGTTGCAGGTCTATCCATCAGGGTAGATCAGATATATTTTCCTCTCCAATCTGACCATTACATCAATTACAGGTTGATGAAGAAGTAGTGAAACGTTTGAGTGGATACAGTGTTAAACACTAGGCTGATTTAGAATGTATCTCAATATGTATAAAATTTTTAGCTACATTTTAAAAAATTAAGTCACAGTTTGAAAGGCTGCTATTCCAAGGCCGATTAAAATGGCTGAAATGAAACTTCCTGAGCCAAAAACAGTCAGGACTACTCTTAAATAACTTCACTGAGAGGAAAATAATTAGTGTGGTGTAATGCTGCTGTGACAGCAGAAACCACTATTGTAAATTCATTGTACTAGCATTTTGTGAAAAAATTTCCCCAGCACAGAAATAGTATCCTAAGCACATTTCAACTGGCATGGAGTTCACAAGTAGGGCAAACTGGACTCTCAAAGGATGTCAACAGGCTAAGGTCCAACCGCCCCCTCATTGCAACTGTCTTTTAGTATTCCCTGTTCTCCACAAACACTAATAAATAACAGCGATAAAGCCCCCTTTGCCCCAGCCTCTATGTTCAGAACTAGCAGTCCCTGGATGATCCGGACTATCACTTATTCGGGTCTCACTCCCACCCGTCTCCACCTCTCTTCACTTTTATTCCCTGTGGTCTTCTAATCTGTGTGTGGCACACCCAGCCCCACTTCTGCAGGCAAGTACAGTGGTGCCCCGCAAGACGAATGCAAACTCGCAAGATGAAAAACTCGCTAGACGAAAGGGCTTTCCGATTTTTGAGTCGTTCCGCAAGACGAATTTCCCTATGGGCTTGCTTCGCAAAACAAAACATCTTGCGAGTTCTTGCGAGTTTGTTTCCTTTTTTCTTAAAGCCGCTAAGCCACTAATAGCCGCGCGGAACGGATTAATTTCGTCTTGCGAGGCACCACTGTACATTTCCAAATCTGGACCTCCCTTGTTGAATCTGGCCAAAATAAAAATGTGAGGTTTACTTGTGTTATTTTCCAGTGCTGGTATTTATCACTAAATTTTGGGAATGAGGGTGGCATTGCACTTTTTATTTAATGAACTTGGTAAGGTTTTTAAAAATAATTTACTGGCAAATTGCAGGGGATTGGACTAGAAGACCCATGGGGTCCCTGCCAGCTCTACAATTCTAGGGTTCTAAGACTTATTTTCCAATTGTTTCAGTGTGCCTTGATAAAGCCTAGCATTTTCTAACAAAATATAAATATGAGAATGGAATTTTAAAATTGTCCTTAAGATTGCCAGGCCTTGAGATTATCAGCCAATTTAAAAAATAAGTGGTATGAGATTTTTTACATTTACTAGTTACAAATTCTGAGATTTACCAACAAATGATGAAAACTAGGACAAAGTTTATCATTAGCCAAAGGCACTTGGCGATTTTTGAGGTATACTAATAACTGTTGAACACCAAGCGGAAATGATCATTACGTGCTCCTAGTTGTTAGAAACCACCAGTTTCTAACAACAGTTGATGTGAGAAATGGCTATAATATTTCTCTCTTAAGGAAGCAAAGCAATAAACCTGTCCTACATTGTTGGAGTATCTTGTGATTAAGGAGGGAAACAGTGTGGCTAAATCTTTGAGTCAGAGCTCAAATAACCTGCCATGTACATTGTAACTTCTGCAAAGATAGATTTGCACATACCCTAACTCCACAGAAGCCCGCAGCTTTTTGTATGTGTTCCTTAGCATACATGCAGATGAACAGACCAAGGGACCATTTTAATAGCAGGCTTTCCAATACCAATCATGTGGTTTTAAAAGAGCCCTATTATATGAAAGCAACCCTATTATATGAAAAGTGTGCACCTTTTTCTGATTCAGGAGAGCCTAAACATAAACAAAATCTGTGGACTTCAGGATGGGAAAGCCTCGTCTGTGTGAATCTGTCAGGAGAGTCATACCTGTAAGGTTCTTTTGCAGACTTACCCTAAGGTAGCACAAGCCAATGCAGATCAGGCAGGCAAGCAAGACCACCAGCTGTACAGCCATGGTCCCAAGCTGCATCCAGATTTGTCTGCTTCTTTTCCTGTCCTCACACTTCTCGGCAGGTGCTTCTTCCAGTTTTCTGGCCTCCATCTCCACTTGTTCCTCCATGTGCAAAGCACAAAGGAAGAAAATCAGCACTGAAGCCAGAGAGCTGTGAATTCCCAGGGACAGCTATTAAATAGCATTAAGAGATCATTTTAAGCCTTATATGCAAACAGAGGCGGGGAACTTCTTTATGACTAATATGAAATTTCCCTTGAATCTCACTCTCTCCCCTTCTGTGGGTGATTGTGGTGGTTGATATTTAAGATATCCCAATTCATTTTTAATAGACATTCAAGCTGATCCCCAGAGATTTATGGATCTCTGTTTTCCTGGCTGTGCCTCCCAAACGTGGAGCAAATATGTTGCTCAAAGGCCTGTGACCCCCTTTCTGAGTGTCTGGGTCAGAAGACGCACAAGGCAAATGTCACTCAGTGAACACAGTGCAACACAGTAAGCTAGAAATAGATGGGTTACAAATAAAATAAATAAAAGCAAAGTTTAGCTGGCATAGCTCAGTTGGTCTTAATCTCAGGGTTGTGAATTTGAGCCCATTAGGCAGGGGGTTGGACTAGATGACCCTCATGGTCCTTTCCAACTCTACTATTCTATGGTTCTAAATAAAAGATACTAGGCCAGCCCCTGGTATTAACTGGGTCTCTTTAGTACTGCCTCTTACTCCTGAAACCATACCCTTGATCTTTGGCTTCTCCCTTTCCTCCTCTAATCATGCATGCTCCCTCTAACCTTTACCCCTTAAATTCAAACAAGTTCTATAGCTGTGTACACACCATACACTTATAGTGTATACCCCCCAAAAGAATGGGAATTGTAGTTTGCTAACAGTGCTGGGAACTGTAGCTCTGTGGGGTATAAACTACAATTCCCATATTCTCATGAGAGGATAAACCTCCAGCAAGGCCAAATTCTTCAAGTAGAGGAGGTTATTTTTCATTTTTAAATGCCTTCAACAGTTTGAATTTTTTTTCAATCAGAACAAGGTACCATTTTCATGTGGTTGTTTTATTTTAAAAAGTAATCTGTCCTAGTCCCATGAACACAGGGCAAATAACATAACATTGTTGTTGTTTAGTCGTGTCCGACTCTTCGTGACCCCATGGACCAGAGCACGCCGGGCACTCCTGTCTTCTACTGCCTCCCACAGTTTGGTCAAACTCATGTTGGTAGCTTCGAGAACACTGTCCAACCATCTCATCCTCTGTTGTCCCCTTCTCCTTGTGCCCTCAATATTTCCCAGCATCAGGGTCTTTTCCAGGAGGTCTTCTCTTCTCAGGAGGTGGCCAAAGTCTTGGAGCCTCAGCTTCTGGATCTGTCTTTCCAGTGAGCACTCAGGGCTGATTTCCTTCAGAATGGATAGGTTTGATCTTCTTGCCGTCCATGGGACTCTAAGAGTCCCCTCCAGCCCCATAATTCAAAAGCATCAATTCTTCGGCAATCAGCCTTCTTTATGGTCCAGCAAGCCACTCCAGTATCCCTGCCAAAAAAACTCCATGGCAAAAACAACAGGCATATAAAACATAACATTACCTTTGATATAATCTAATAAGCAAGGAAGCATTTTGCTCACTTCTGAAGTCAAATGAAAAGTTCTTATTTCTAGGAGAGTTCCCAAGATGCCCCCTTGTGGCTCAGATCTATTTATTGACGGGTACAGCTTCAAGCCTGCCTTTTGCAGAAGGACTGTGCAATTAAAGCGGGTGAAAGTACTTGGCCATCATGACACATCAAATCCTTTTTAATGGCCCTTTTGTGGTTGGGAAAGGGCAGGAAAATGCACTGAAAAGTGTAGGGCAAACAAATGATTAACAAGAAGATATATAAACACTGGGCAAGCAAATCAGGATGAATGCGCATTTTTGTATATCATCCCTACAAAAACCCCCTGAAACACTCAATAAAAACTAGACACGGTCTAACTTCTGTATAAGTTTTATGCAAGCAAATCAGGATGAAAGCTCATTAAATGAGGGGACTGTTTATACAACAGAGTTCATTTTAAAGGAAATTGAAAGAAAAAAAGAAAAAAGAGATTTTAGATGAAATTATGGAAAAGGAGAAACAATTGTCAAAAAAAGCAAATAAAGAGTCAGCTAAGCAGGCAACTAGAATATTACAAACCCAATGATAGTTAATGAAAAAATTAGCTGAAAGATAAAAAGAATGAAACAGAAGTACTTTGAACATGCCAATAAATCAGAGTTGGTTAATTAAAGACCATTTTAGAGTTGGTTACACTACAGACAACTACATGAGATGTACAAGGAAGATAATAAGAAAGGGTTTAGTTATACAACTTCTAGATTTCAAAAGAAGAAGGGAAGCTGCTGAAGAAAGCATATAGTATTTTGCTAGAATGGGAAACAAAAGATGAGGTCAAACCGGTTATGATCAATGGGCAAAGCATATAGGACATAATATACAATTTGAGGACTGGGAAAAACTGTGGAAAGTAAAGTTGCAATTTAGATTGTTCTCTCTTGAAAGAAAATTATATGAAAATGATATATAGATGGTATATTACACCAGTACAGATCGCAAAAATGTATAAAACCAGGTCAAATATATGTTGGAAATGTAAAGAAAAAGAAGGGACTTTTTATCATATGTGGTGGGAATGTAGAGAAATTAAAAAATTTTGGGAAATGATATACAATGTATTGAAAAAAAATGTTTAAAATGACATTTGTAAAAAAACCAGAAGCATTTTTGTTAGGGATTGTAGGACAAGACCTGCCAAGAAAATTTTTTAAAAAACTTATTTATGTATGCTACAACAGCAGCAAGAGTCTTGTTAGCGCAAAGATGGAAATCCCAATGAAAGAACAGTGGCAAAAAAACTGATAAACTATGCGGAACTGGGACAAGGACAACTGTGGCTTTAAGGAAGAATGGGAACTTTTTACAAATTACAGTGGTACCTCTGGATGCGAACGGGATCCGTTCTGGAGCCTCGTTCACATGCTGAAGCGAACGCAACCCACGTCTGCGCATTTTGATTTGCCGCTTCTGCGCATGACGTCATTTTGAGCGTCTGCGCATGTGTGAGCGGTGAAACCTGGGAGTAATGTGCTCCATTACTTCCGGGTCGCTGCGGAGCGCAACCCGAAAATACTTAACCTGAAGCTACTTCAACCCGAGGTATGCCTATCTAAAAAGACAACAAAATGAACTGGACTCCTTGGCAAGTTTTGAATAAACATACACAAATAGATAATGTAAGGATATGTCAAATTTTATAACACGCAGAGAATAATATGAGCTGAGAAATCAGAGAGAGGAGTTGAGGGAAGTCTTTGGTGGGGGAGGGGAGGGAGGGATGGAAGGGAGGGAGGGAGGGGGGAAATGTATGTGATTATATGGTTTGATAATTGGTTATGTTGAAATTGATAATAATTTTTTTTTTAAAAAAAGAAAGCTCATTAAATGGATCATTTGAAGGAGCCCCAAGCTGAGAGGTGCTCATTTCTGACATAGGATTGCAATTTGGAAAGTATCTGCATGGAAATTTCCTTTCCCCCAGAAGGCATTTTGGACAGGCCCTTTAGAAATAACTAGGCTCCCAGCAATTTAAGTACAGTGGTACCTTAGGTTAAGAACTTGATTTGCTGGAGGTCCGTACTTAACCTGAAACTGTTCTTAACCTGAAGCACCACTTTAGCTAATGGGGCCTCCTGCTGCTGCCGCGCCGCCAAAGCCCAATTTCTTTTCTCAGCCTGAAGCAAAGTTCTTAACCTGAGGTACTATTTCTGGGTTAGCGGAGTCTGTAACCTGAAGCGTCTGTAACCTGAAGCGTATGTAACCTGAGGTACCACTGTAGAGCAGAGTCTTGCAGGACCTCATAGTATGACCACCACAAGACCTAGCACAAGCTAGAAAGAGTGGGGCCACAGTATTTGTACAGCCACAGCCCCCTTGGACACCTGACCAGGGAGGGAGGAACAACTGGGCAGCAGTTCTTCAAGCCTCGGCTCCAGGGAGGGCCTCTGTCCAGGCCTAAGCCAGGAGGCCAAGGGTCTAGGAGACAACGGCAGGGCCAGTTGGCTGTCCTCTTTCAAGCGCCTTGTCCACAGCCCGAGGCTGCAATAAGTGAAACGGATCCTGCACCGCAGGGCCGCCCCTCGCTCCTGGCGGGGGGGGGGAGGGAGGGAGAAGCCCCCCCCCCCGCTTGACTTCTGCCATGTCTGCCTCGTCCAGACCGGCGAGCGGGTCCTGGCCGAGGGCGCCCCCCCCCCCCCCGCTTCTGAGACTGAGCGGGAGCTGAGCAGCAGCAGCAGCAGCAGCGAGGGCTCAGGCGAGGGCAGCCCGGGGGGCGCTGCTTCCCTGGCTCGTCGGGCGGCCTCCGGCCCCTTGCTCCCCCCCCGGGCTTCCCCGCCGCGGGGCTTTTGCGCTGGGGCCGCGCGTGCGCGACTCGCCTCCCCGCCTCCGACCAACTTCGCTTCCCAGAGTCCTTCGCGGCCGGGGCGCGGCGAGGCTCCCAGCATGCCTTTCGCGCCGGCTGGCGGGGCGATGTCTGGCCCGGGCGCGGAGGCGGCGGCGGCGGCGGCGGGGCTGGCGAAGGCGGGGGCCGGAGCGCCTCGCCCCCGGAGGAAGCTCCTCACGGCGGAAGAGGCAGAACTGTTCGAGCTGGCGCAGGCGGCGGGGAGCGGCCTCGACCCGGAAGTGTTCAAGTGAGCGGGGGGGGGCGGCGTAACGTGAGGCGCCTTTGTAATCCGCCCCGCGACCCTCGCGCGAAAGGCGGCACACAAAAGCCGGAGGGGGATCAAAGGCTCCGCATTGCTAAGCCAGACTATGGTTACTGTAATTGCCACTTGTTCTTTACTCCCTGCCTTTTGCCCTGATGGGTCTCCAGGCAGATTGCAGATAAATAAGGACAGGTGAAAAGCTGGAGGGGTGTGTGTAAACCCATTATTAAATAAAACAAGCATTCATAGAATAACACCCACCCACATGTCAGGAGCTCGTCCTACACTTGAGTAGGACCCTGGCAGAGGCACATGCCCGACTGGCATGTTCTCTCCCTCCTGGTCTTTTGTTCAGGAGCTTCAAAAGCTTTCTTCTGCCCGAACATCACAGCAGCCGATGCCAACAGACACAGGCACACTTAGGGATCCACAGAGTGTTTGCAGTTTGCATAACAGACCTCAGCAACACAGCATTTTGGCTAATCTACTTTATTTACATATAAACACACACAGAGTACTGCAGCATGGCTCCCTCTCTCTCTAGCATTAGACAGCAAAGAAAAAGAACAAAGGTTACTAGTCCCACTTCACGGAACACAGGAACACAAACATCCTGTCTCCGTCACTTCCCACTCTGTGGAGTCAAAACATACACCGTCATGTGAAGGACAACAATCCCATGACAGCAATCATGGAGCAGGAATTCTAACACCACCCACAGAAGATCTCTTGAAACCGCACAGACAGTCATAGCAAGGACAGAACAGCACCAGCTTCACTAAAAGCCACCAGTTCCCTGTGGGAGCAAGGAAGCCTTCGCCTGCCAGCTGTTCAGAGGCCCCTGTCCCTTGATGGTGACTCCCTCCAATGCCACTACATAACATTGCAGAGGAAGTGAAATAGTGCCACTTGGCACTCCTCTTAAGTGCTCCCACAACCACAGGGGTCAGAGGCACTACATGTGACATGTTTGAATTCCACCCGCCCCCCAACTATATTATGTAGCAGGAAAGAGTGTCTTATGGGGCCAGGGAGCCCAGAGTAGTCTGTAAGTGGCATCTGCTCTAAGCTACCAGTCTTAGAGGAATCAGCATTAGCTGGCAGCAGAGAGGCACTCCTGCCTGTGTTACTCAGAGCTCCCAGGACCTTCGTTTTTTGCCTCTTACGCTCAACGTTTTTCTGTAAGCCACTCCCTCTGTCAGTCTCAGTTGCAGTATGAATGATAGTTCCCGGCAGGGCTGTGGAACTGGATTCAGGCAGCCATAGGATCATAGAATTGTAGAGTTGGAAGGGACACTCAGGATCATCTAGTCCAACCCCCTGCAAAGCAGGAATACGCATTTGTCCCGTATGGGGATCAAACATTGGTGTTATCGGCACCATGCTCTAACCAACTGAGCTCTAACCCCCTGCCCCATGCAAACATCTCTCTGGCTTTTAGAAGGCATTTGAAGGCAGCCCTGTACAGGGAAGTTTCGAATGTTTGAGTTTTTTTGTGTTTTAATATTTTGCTGGAAGCCACCCAGAGTGGCTGGGCCAACCCAGATGGGCAGCATATAACAACAACAATATAAATAAAAATGGGTAGGGCTGCCCACCTGACAGCCAATGGACATAATGGAGTCGGGTGATGCGTTTTTGCCCATGCATGCAAAGGCATAGCCAACAAAATGCAGACAACCAGCTGATTGTCAAGCTTAGTGCTCAGTACTTTCCAAGACCCAACAATCAGCTGATTGTGTGGGGTTTCAAAGCTGCAGCATTACCTGCCTCACACCTGGCATCATATATGACATCTGGTGTAGGGCGGGTGGACATGGCTTAACAGGTCATCTTAGGCCCACAGACCAGAAAGCTCACGCACATTGTGGGGATAATTGGTATGTTGTAAGCCACATTGTCTCCAGTCCAGTCCACAATATGGGGATAATACCTATGCACTGAATTTGAATTTGCAGGACATTTTTTTGTAACTGTTTCAAGACTAATTGACTGTAGGGTAGCTCAGTCGGTAGAGCATGTGACTCTTAATCTTAGGGTTGTGGGTTGGAGCTGCACGTTGGACGACAAAATACTCCTGCATTGCGGGGGGTTGTACTAGATGACCCTCGTGATCCTTTCCAACTCCACAATTCTATGATTCTATGACACTTTCACATAAAACAGGGCCTAAGTTAAAGAGAATGTGAACTGCAGTCTGCGTTTTTGGGGAAAAAAACAAAAAACAACAACCCAGCAACAAGAAACAAATCAGGAAATCTAATTTCCAGACAATGAATTGTTAGTATAATACTTTTAATGTCTACCTATGTTCCCTTCTAGGATTCTGCTGGACCTTTTGCGCATGAATGTGGCACCTTTGGCTGTTTTCCAGATGCTGCGCTCCATGTGTGCTGGGCAGAGGCTTGTCAGTGCTGAGGCTGCTCCTGAGCCAGCGCGAGGTTAGTGGTGCCCCATCCCTTAAGGAAAGAGGTGCTTGTTAAAGGCTGCTGCTCATCAGGGCTTAATTTGTGCCAGGGAAACTAGTAGCAACGATAAGAGTATCTTTAAGCATCTGAGTACCTCTCCTACATTTTGATTATTTTCCACAGTCAGTTCTCAATTTGAAGAAGATGTTAAGCTGCTAGGATGGGCCTACAGTATCATTTTCTTTCCATATGTTAATAGCTTTCAAGTTGCAAACTGAGAATTGTATAAATCATGCAAATCTGACTGAAGTTATGCATCTTTGAAAGTATAAAGCCATTTTAAAAACTACTCTCTTTGCTATGCAGTTGAAATTAGAATTTGTGAAATGTCCATTTTCTGACCTCTGATATTTTCTATATCACTCAAGCCTGATCCTCTTTTGCACACAATCCATTAAAACCAAAGATTTTAAAAAATAAGTGCCACTCTCCGCATGAATTTATTTTACCTCCACTTTCTAAGCTGTAGATAACATCCTGTGTAATAGGTATTGTGTTCCTGGGACTATAGGAAACCCTCTTGTTATGAGTCAGCCATTTGTTTAGCTTAGTGTTGTCAACACTGACCGGCAGCTGTTCTCCTGGGTTTCATGTGTGTCTTTTCCCCTGGAGATGTCAGGGAAAGCTCCGCTGCTGAGCTATTGCTGAGTCAGCAAGTTTTCAATAAAATGCAACTGTACATTCTTGTGTTGCGTTCAGTCTAATCCTAACTAGGCTTCTTGGGAAGTAAATTCTTTTGATTTTCAATTAGGCTTGTCAAAGTGCATTGAGCTTTGCAGTCCCAATATGATATACATGCCAGATCACCCTTTATGTCTGTTTCTCAGGCAGCATTTGAAAGATCAGTAAATATTAACATTATTAGAGCAGATACAATTTTGTTCACCTTGTTTACTGTTCTTCTACAGTTCAGGAATGAACATTTTGCCTGTCATAGTTCAGAATTATTGCTTCTAATTAGCATATCTATGTTGACCAGAAGCAGTAGTTCTTTGGTGGCCTTATTTTATGTCATAGCACCGTCTGTTCTTAGCCAAGGCCCTTTCACAGCAATTCTGACCATGTTTGTGCTTAGCACTGGATATAATCTGGTTTCTGGGTTACAGTCTCATTCAAGAGAAGGGCAAAAACAAGGCTTTATAAAGCGGGAGGCAGAGGACCAGGGAGATGAGGCTTAAGTACTAGAAGGCAGCACAGAAAAGGTGAGTTTGCGGTAGAAACTGTGAAGACTATGGGGAAGCTGTTCAGCCACTAGGAAGACATGGCAGTTGAGATGAAGGCACACGTGTGAGAAGGAAAGAAAGTGGGTCAACAGGAGACAAGCTTGCAGGAGGTGGGGAGCTGAGCACAACAGGCCGCCCTCTGGTTTCTTTCAGGGCCCTTCTCGGTTGCATGTTGGTGAGCATTCATTCATGTATTCACATACCTAATGATCTGTTAATTCTTCTGGTCCGTACTGGAGTCTACAGCGATAGACCACTTAACTGTATGGCTTCCTACTGATCAAAGGCCGAGGTCCCACATACAACCCCCTGGATTTATTCTGTGTTTGGGCTTGCTTGTTAATTTCTCCCATCTCTGATATTGTATCTACCACCCTGAGCTGTGCTAAAAGTTGCCCAGATCTTGCCTTCCTGTTCACCTACTCCCCCACTTTCATTGTAGCACTCTTGTCACGTCAGGACTATAGATCTTGCTTTTTAAGGCTGAGAGGGGGCATTGAAATAAGCAAAGAGCCCTCATTCTCCCCCCCCCCCATCTTTCTGATTGAGGAGAAGAGTGCTGCTGTGTGGAGAGGAGCAACTGCTACAGCCTGACATTTGTGGCTCCTCTTAATTAAGCATCAAATTACATAGTGCACACAAAATAGTCCTCTTTTTTTGTTTTGTTATTGGAAAAGCAGCTTTTGGAAGGCAAAGCTTGGAACAGAGAAGTGGCTGCTGACTTCACTTTCTTTCCAACAACACCAGAACTGGCTTATGAATATAAACAACGATTTTACTAGAATAAGTATATAACCTCATAAACCAACTAGACAATGAGCAAACTAAAGTGCAGTGTGCATAACCAAGCCTGGAGCTACTCATAAACATAGAATGTACCAGTGTCTCTCTCATTGCTGTACTGGTTATTTATGCAATAAGTATGTCAACATAGCTGGAACAAATAGTCGTTGGAAGCACAAAGCCATAAACGTGGGAGCGGTTGCTGAAAAGCGTTCTTCAAGTAGTCGTTCGCTGGAAGCGCAAAGTCAAATGATCAATTGAAGCCAAATGGATGAGACCTGTTCTCCGGATATTATCCAGGTTTTGCAGCAAACTTCATCAGTCCATAATGCTAAATAATATGGAATAATACAGAATGGCATTCCAGTTACAGTAAATGAACGACCACAAAATACACGCAATACCCATCTCATGTTGTATCTTACTTAATCGCTCAACACGTTTCACTCAAGAAAAAAGGTACTCACAGGCACAGCAAATGTAGAAACTGGTGATACCAAACATTTAAATACATTACAGGTGCTTGGAATCAATAATCACATTCATACATGGTTAAAGGTACAGTAACACTTCCCTGTTATTGCTAAACAAACAAAGACACAAAAATAGATTTATATATAACAACCAGGGTTAAATTCAGTATTCAAACTTTTGGAAACAAGGTTCCTAGTTGAAATATTAATTTGTACTCTTTTTGTATCAAGGCTCTTCATACATCAACAGATCTAAAAGTCCACAGGATGAAAAAACTCAGGTCATTTTCAGTATGGGCCTCTTGCTGGAAATGCTGGACTAACGGGGCGTGTAGGCAAGCATTGCATATTTTGGACCTTTGCTCATAAATTCCAGTCCTGATTGCACAGGACCTGCATATAAAAGCCCGCAAGCACAACAGATACAGTACACACAATTTTTTGTAGAACAATTTGTAAACTGTTGCAAGACAATCTTTCGCCCATTTATTGTGTTGGTAAATGATTTCACGGGCAAAGCAAATCTGCAACATGTGCAATGACTGCATCTATAATGCCCTTTCAGCGTAGTGTGTGGGTCGTCATTATGGTATTCAAGTAGATCAGTGTGGGAAAGAATGTCCCTAAGCCATCTAGTACACCTTTTGCCTAAAATGGGCACATTTTCACAGCCTGGAATATGGGAAATGATGTGCCAATGTCTAATAATAATAATAATAATAATAATAATAAATTTTTATTTATATCCCGCCCTCCCCAGCCGAAGCTGGGCTCAGGGCGGCTAACAACAATCAAAATAGTCCGACATTCTAAAAACATTCATTATAAAATTAATTAAATCAAATTAATGGCAACCATCAAGCAAAATTCTGTGCAGAATGCCGATTGCCAGAGGAGGGGGTCAGGCTGCGCCCTGACCAAAGGCCTGGTGGAACAGCTAGTAATCACTCTTTCAATAGAAGAAGATAAATAGTTGTACTCTATAGAACAAAATATCCTGTCCTGATTGTTTTTGGGTTTCGGTACCAACAATTCCTGCCTAGAAGTTCTTTTAGCCCTTTCAAAGGCCGTTTGAATTATTTCCTCCAGATAGCCTCTATCTCTTAATGAAGAGGAAAGGGATGCAGCATTTTTTTTAAAATCAGTATCAAGGGAAGAACTTCTTTTAAGTCTAATAAATTGGCTGAACGGGAGACTATTTTTTAATTGGACTGGATGGTTAGAATGATAATGAAGTAAATAATTCCTATCAGTAGGTTTGCAAAATGGGCGTAAATTAATGACATGTTCATTACGTTCAGTAACAAAAAATAATTCAACTTCTAGAAAGGAAATGCTAACCTCGCTCTTTTTACCAGTAAATCTTAAAGCGGTATCACATTGATTTAACCAAATGTCAAATTCCAAGAATATATCTGGTCCAAAACAAAAATAAAATCATCAATGTAACGATCATCAATGTAACGATAATAAGCCAATAAATGCTTCCTAAATGGATTCGAATCACTCAAAATATATTCTAAATCAAAATAACGCATATAGACACAGGCGAGGGATGGTGCACAATGGGCGCCCATCGCCACGCCCCTGCATTGAAAATAAAACTCTTCTTTAAAGCAGAAGAAATTATTTTCAAGAATAAGGTCCAACACATGTACCAGCGGATCATTTTGATTATTGTTTTATTGTCATGCAGTATTTGTTCAACCAGGGAACGTAACCTATCCAATGAAACATTAGTATACAAAGCTTCAACATCCCAAGTAGCTAATATAGCACCCTGGGGAACAGCGAGACCTTCTATGACAGAAATAAAATGTTGAGTATCCTTAATGTAGGATGGGGTTCTTATTGCCAAAGGATTAAGGATTGAATCCACAAATTGTCCTACAGGCTCAAGGAGGGACCCAGACCCAGAGATAATGGGGTGGCCGGGAGGGGGGGGGAATCCCTTTATGAATTTTGGGGAGGGTATTAAAAATTGGAACACGACTATGTTCTGGTACTAAGAATTCAGGTAACTGGTCAGATATTAAACCAAGGGCAGACGCCTCTTGGACTACCAATAAAAGCTTACGTCTGACCTCATTAGTTGGATCATAATTCACGGGTTGATAATAATTGTGATTACTCAACTGTTGAAAGGTCTCCTATTCATACACTTGTTTATCTAAAACTACAATGGCCCCTCCCTTATCCGCTTGTTTAATAACGAGATGTTTTTTCTCAGAAATCTCTTTAAGAATATTGTTTTCTTCCCTAGACAAATTGAAGGATTTATACTGTTTCTTCCACTCGATTTTCTCTATATCTCTTAACACTAAGGACTGATATGTTTGGATATAATGATTGTGTGTTACAGGATTGAACCGGGACTTAATTCTCAATGGAGTAGGCTGGTATATCTCGCCTGCAAAAAAGTATCTAAGCTTTTATGAACTTCTACGCGAGTTTGAAAGGCGGAATAGCCAGGTGTGGGCACAAAACCCAATCTTTTCTCAAGTATATTTCCACTCTAATTTACTCGTCAGAAGACAAATTAACAACTAATGATTCTGTTGGAATCCTTTCCTCCTGGACGGGCATTTCCCCGGCTCCTGCGAAAACCCGGATAACGCCTGCTGGACCTAAGCTGCAATTCCCTATCTCTCTCCGTCTTGCTGTCACTGTGGCTGGAAGCACCGATAGAATCATAATCACTAGGGAAATCACGTGGTCTAGTGCTGTCGTGTCTTCTGGGTTGGATTTTACCCTTTTTATCGTCGTTAATCCACCCGTATATGTTGTTAGGGGCATAATCATTTTTATCCCTATTAAATTTCAGCATTTTCAATTTCTTAATCTCCTCAGTGTAAGTGTTTAACTCCTTCTTTGTGATCTGCACCAACTTGTCCATTTTCTGTGATTTTAATTGAGTTTTTAAATTTGCTAATACCATACAAATTTCCTTATCAACAATCTCTATCATGTGTACATTGTTCCAAGCACCTGTAATGTATTTAAATGTTTGGTATCACCAGTTTCTACATTTGCTGTGCCTGTGAGTACCGTATGTTCTGGTGTATAAGACAACTTTTGAACTCCGGAAAATCTTCTCCAAAGTCGGGGGTCGTCTTATACGCCGGATATGGTGGTGACAGGTGGTGGCAGCGGCAGCTAGCTTGGAACGGCGATGGGCAGAAGGATGGTAAGAGCTGCCCCCACCTCCATCCCTGGCCGCCTCCCGAAGCAGCAGCAACCCCAGCAGCCTCCCCTTCCCACGGCAAGGTGGTGCGCGGCTTCAGCCGGGGCTCCAAGGAGCTGGGCATCCCCACAACTGCCAGAACTACCAGCCGGTGAGCGCAGCCCATCGCTTTGCTGGACGGCCGATCGGGGCTCACTCGCTTCACCTCGGGCTGCTGCTGCTGCTGCGACGGCAGAGGCAGCGGAGGGGTGCACGCTCTGCCCCGGCGGCGCTTGGCGGGCTTTAGGTTTGGGGGGGCTGCCTCTAGTTTGCTGCAGGCGGGGGTAGTCTTATACGGCGAGTATATCCCAAACTCTATATTTTAACAGGATTCCAAGCTCCTGTAATGTATTTAAATGTTTGGTATCACCAGTTTCTACATTCTATAGTTTCTACATTTGCTGTGCCTGTGAGTACCTTTTGTCTTGAATGAACCGTGTTGAGTGATTAAAATACAACATGAGATGGGTACAGTGGTACCTCGGGTTATGTACTTAATTTGTTCTGGAGGTTCATTCTTAACCTGAAACTGTTCTTAACCTGAAGCACCACTTTAGCTAATGGGGCCTCCCGCTGCTGCCGCACCATCGGAGCACAATTTCTGTTCTCAACCTGAAGCAACCTGAACCCGAGATAATATTTCTGGGTTAGCGGAGTCTGTAACCTGAAGTGTATGTAACCTGAAGCATGCGTAACCCGGGGTACCACTGTATTGCATGTATTTTGTGGGCATTCATTTATTGTAACTGGAATGCCATTCTGTATTCTATATTACTTAGCATTATGGACTGATGAAGCTTGCTGCAAAACCTGGATAATATCCGGAGAACAGGTCTCATCCATTTGGCTTCAGATGATCATTTGGCTTTGTGCTTCCAGCTAACGACTACTTGAACGCTTTTTAGGAACCGCTCCTACGTTTCATTTTTAATTAACTTCCACACAGTTTCATTGTATGGCTCTGGTTCTAATATTAAAAGAAAATTCTTTCTATCCATTTTCTCCACAACATGCATAATTTTTATAAACTTTTATCATGCTTTCCCACCCCAATAATTTCCTTTCTTTTCTAAACCAAAAAGTTCCAAGTACATTAGTTTTCCCAGTGGGAATCATGTTCCGACTCACTTGGCCATGGTGGTGGTCCTCTTCTGCATCTTTCCCAGCTTCACGGTATCCTTTTGAGATGGCTCAACCAGGAATGTATTCTCAGCTACGACCACACAATTGATTATGGAAGGCATTACAGGCTCAAACTGGTACCCTGATGAAACAGTCTAGCAAGCTGAAGGCTTCATATTACATGTATGGGGTAGGAAGGCAGAGGCCCAAATTGGCACCCATGTTTTCACCATATACGTTACGGGCACCAGACAAGCATTTTGGGCTGCTTTCAAGGAAGGGCGGTGGACTAAATAAATAAATAAATAACCAACCCCAAGCCTGGAATTTGTCTTTTTCACAGCAGTTGCATCAACATCTTCTTTGAGAGGTGCAGCATGGCCTCCCAATTTATTTCCTGGTTAATCACTACCAGTTCAGGCCTCATCAGTGTACAGAAGTTGAAATTATTTTCCCCCACTTACTCCTATTGAACTGCTGTACGCCTGACTCAAATTACTTAAATACTTTCAATCAATCATTTACTGTATTTGGCTAAAAGCCATTACAAATCCAGTTACAAAACCAGCAAATCCAATAAAACCTATTAAAAAGCTCCAGAAATAAGCAATAATTTACAATAAATCAAATACAGATTAGCTGGGAAGATGGTGGCACAGCGGGGATCTATATAAAGAGGCTCAGCGTTGCTCCTGCAAAAAGGTTTTATCTGCTATTTTTAAAAGTTTTTTAAAAACACTCTAACTTTTTAAGCTTCTCAACTTGCAATTTGGATGCCTTTCTGGGTTTCGGGACCCTGTTTTAATTGTTTGAACTGTTTATTTTATCTTCTTACCGTCCCCTGGTCTGGAGGAAATGTCTTTCTAAGGAGCCTTTTCATTATTACCTCCCCTTACCTGCTTGCTCACAGATTAGCTTTCTGCTTCATTGGGTTATTTGCTTGGCATCATTAAATACTATCGTAAATTATCTATATGATTGTATTATGACTGTATTATATGCTACCAGTCACTCCAGATCCTTGCGGACTCTGCAGCTTATATCCTGCATCTATCCTCTTTCCTGTTCTTTGACCAGTTACTGATTCATATGAGGAGAACTTTTGCCACTATGGTAGGGGATATTTGTGAGTTCAAAGTACCGTATTTTTCGCTCTATAGGACGCACTTTTCCCCCTCCAAAAATGAAGGGGAAATGTGTGTGTGTCCTATGGGGCGAATGCAGGCTTTCGCTGAAGCCTGGAGAGCGAGAGGCATCGGTGCGCACCGACCCCTCTCGCTCTCCAGGCTTTGCGCAGCTCTCCGCAAGGCGTGGGAACCCGGCGCTGGGCTCCCACAGCTTGCGGAGAGTTGCCTGCTCTGGGGGTGGGGGGCGGGGGAAGCTCGGGCTTCCCCCGCCCCGCGCCTGGGGGGAAAATATTTTTTTCCCCTTTATTTCCCCCCCCAAAAAACTAGGTGCGCCTTATGGGACGGTGCGGCCTGTAGGGCGAAAAATACAGTATATAATATCTTCCTCCATTAACACGCTTGTTGACACTCAGAGGATTGCTGATGCAGTACTTGCCTTTGCAAAAGTCATGCTAACTCTTCTTGAACAAAGCTTGTGCTTCTTTCTTTAGTAATGTCTCCACAAATATAGGTGGATCAAGCATTAGATGAAATAGCTCATAATTTGCTGCCTCCATCTCCCAGATGTTTTATTGCTCACTTCCCAATCCTTTGGGAGCAAGGCCTCTTTTTCACATTGGGTATTTTTGACATGAAATCACTAGTTTCAGATTTTAGTTCCTATGTTTATGGTATCTGGTCCCATGTTGTTCCACACTTCTTCAGCAATGTTGGATAGGAATATATGACCTGCTATTTTGTGTGATCATAAAAGACCTTCAGTATTTTTTTTCTGGTAACGTTGTGACAATACATGTTGATGAATCGTTAGCCTTGGCTTAGCGGAGGTATACAGCCTGAGCAATATTAAAAGGTTCCTGAACAGCCCTGAAAGATACCAAAGGCCATTCAGGGAGCCATTCGGGCGGTGAATGGTTTTACACAGAGGTAGAACTGGTGTGAAGCATCAGGCGTTAACATCTGTCAGCCACTCTTGCTCAGGGGAAGGACAGCCAATTGGGCACCTTCCAGATGATGTGGACTACAATTCCCATCAGCCCCAGCCAGCATGATCAGGGGTGATGGGAGCGACTCCAGAACAACTGGAGTGTTTCACATTGGCTTCCTTGCGAGCAGCATAAAACAAGTTGAAGCAAGTCATTGAATAATAATGACATCATGATTATTATATTATAATTCTTTAAAGAGATCTTATGTGTCAGTTTTACCACACTACATTGAGTTAGAACAAAGGCAGTATAAGTTCATTCTCCAGAAACACAAAATCCTAACCACACGTAAGTGAGTTATCTTGTGCCATGGTTGGGATGAACATATTTAGGTGATTTAGGACTGTTGAGACAAGGAAATGATTTTGAGACTGAGGAAAGTCTGGGAGAAACATGAATGCCTCTTGTGTGGAATCTCTTCTCACCCTGTTGCACAAAGGAATCCCCCAAGCTGTGCCTGCCCCTCATTCTGCATTGTGCACTAGTGGGTCAGTGGGGTCACGGCCACAATGAAGGTTGCTACAACAGAACCAGGTTCCTTCTTGCCTTGCCCTGTGAGCCTTGTTTTCTCTTCTCTCCGTGCATGTGCCTCTTTGTAAGTAGAATGGAGCAAAAATGGTCCAATGCATTGCTTATGCTTCTGTCATTTAGTATCTTATCAGGAACATTTCACAGAAATCCATATGCATATTTACAAAATCGAGATCCTTTGGTGCATCACATAATGGCTTAGAATTGCAAGAAGACAACTGAAGAGATTGAAATAGAGGTGATATAGCCCCTGTTTCCTCCTAAATCCTTCAACCTGGCTAAAAGATCATAATACAAGTATCTATGCAGAATTATTCCACTAATTGTGAATTGTATAGGGGGAGTAAAAATAGCCATGATTACATAACCCTTTGTAACAAAGCATTCAAGTCATACATCTTTGAACATTTGTTGGGATATTTGAACATTTGCAAGTTTGTTTCTGTCTCTATCGCCATGTGGTGTTTCTAATTTGTTTCTGTGTCTCTCTTTGAATTAGAGCCCCCATTTGTCTCTGCCAAGACCAGTAAAATCCCTGCACCACTTTCACTTTCCTCTGCCCTTCGACCTCCGAGAATAAGAGTTACTAAGGCTGTGGTCTACAGTCCTGCTGCAGCTTGCTCGCCTCTCTCTCAAGGTCCCCCTGGCTCTTTCCAGTTTTCTTGCTGCCTGTTCTCTCCTTTTGCAGGTTGTGTGTGTTCGTTACCTACTGGGTTTTAATTCAGCCTTCTGTGACCAAAAGAGAATCCCCTTCAAAAAGTTATTCTCTTGTTTCCAGATCCTAAACACATTTACTTGATAGTAAGTACTATTGATTTCAGCAGAACCTGTTTCCAAGTAAATGTGGTTAGTACTTTAACTTATACAAAATTAACACTGTGTAGTGTTCATTGCAGTTTTAACGAGATGGCATTTGGGGGGAGGAAACATAGGAAGCTTTTAATACTACTACCACTTTATTAAGAGAATGTGGAAGACGGTATATTTTCTTTTGGGCGTATCCTAAATGCACCTTCTTGGCAGGAGAGGGGACTCACATTTCTGGTGATATCTGAGGGGGCTGCATGTCAAGACCAAAAAGGCAGAGTGGGTTGCGTCCACAGAGGAAGGCCTTCCCATGACATGCATAGATTTAGCTATTTTGGATTGTGCCACCCATGTGCCTTTTGCTACTTGGGATCACAATAGCCTGGTCCAGACACACCTGAACATTGCAATGCGTGCAGAGGCCCCTTTGTCAAATGCATTAGCCTGTCATGTGCTGCCATGCGCTCTGGAAAGCTCTGGCTGAGTTACTTTTCTGAGATGCTCTGACTGAGCTTGGAGTGCTTGTACAGTTTCCTTTTCTGTTCATACTGCATAACCTGTTCATCCTAAGATACAGCGTTGGAATCTTCAGCTTTCGGAATTCAGATTTCTGGGCTAAAATGTTCTGTCCATTCTTTTTGATACCTGAATTCAGTGTTCTTGAAAACGTTGGGCAAATCCTTCAAGAGCAGTTTTGTATGCGTGTGGCAATATAAAGTTGAGTGGTGTGTGTGTGTGTGTGTGTGTGTGTGTGTGTGTCCCCTTCAGAATGCCATTGCATATACACAGGAGAGAGACTCCTTCCTCAGCCCTGTCCCTCTTTGTCCCTTCCTTGCTCCCCAGCAGCTTTATCTGCAGCTGGCACTGGCTGCTGTTGGCCTTCAGTGCTCTGTGTGCACCAGGAAGCATGAGGTCTCAACTTCTACCCCCACCCTTTTCCTCCAGCCCTGGAAACCAGAGTCCCAGGGAATCCTAAGGCTCGGGATTTGCTTTTACCTTGTTCTCTCCACTTCGTGGTGATGGTGACACAATGTGCTATTATATGCATTGTTATATTAGTGTTACATTATATTATATTAGCGTAGCAGTAACTTCTGTGGATGCTGTTTGGAAATACAGCAAGCCAGCAACTTACATGCATGATGTAACTTGTGCACATTCAGCTTTATGTGCTTGGCAAAAAAAAAAAAAAAATTAAAAAATGGGGGCAGAAAGGGGGCTTGCATATGGGGAGAAAAGTCTTTGGCACTCCCACCTGCCATTGCATCCAGTCTGCTTTGGCTATATGTGATTTTGGCATTATCCCCTGCAACTTACCCCCGCGTAAGTTGCAGGCTTACAGAATTACTTTTTTAGATAGGCCTGAATATGTCTTCATTCAGTATTATAGTGCCAAGAGCATAGAATACCATCTTTTAATAGTTGCTAGATCTTAATTTGGGAATCTGAAATATACCCTTCTGAAGCATTGTGATAAATTATTATGTACTAGAAGAACTATGTTTTCACCCTGAAATGCCACATAGTTGCTCACTTTGATGCAAATGGTAAGGGGAAAAAATACCTTGTCATAAAATTGGACCCAGTGAGGAGAAGCTGGGACATCTAGACAAAAGGTGTCCTTGAATCTCAGCCCCACCAGTCATTTGGGAGGGACGCGAGTTGCTGAATTGTTTGAGGAAGTGCAAGCTTTTCTGCTTTTAACGGAAATTCAATGTGTGTTGTGCAGTTGTTGCTTTCAATAGTCCTGCTATTTTGGAGGAGGCCCAGGATTCCTAAATGCAGAGCAGTTCTCTCTTACGCCAAGAATCGAAGATGATGTCAGCAGGGAGAATATTTTTTTTGTTTGGTGAGGAAAGAGGGAGGAATACACAGAGAGAAGCTCTGCTGGCTTTAGGTCCCTTGCCAGTTGCAGGGAGTATTGACGGTCAGAGGCAATGGATGGTGGACTTGGTTATGCTACCCGGATAGTTACTGTTTGTAAAAGTAAAGTTTAGGATAAGAATTCTGAATAAGTGTTGATGGATGAAGCAAGCCTTTGCCGATGTTGAGCTGAGCTCCTCTTTCAGTCTGGCTTAGTGTGCTGCTTTCCTTAAATATTTGGTCAGACTGTAGCTCACAACTACTATTCAGATGGTATTTAACACTAGTAAGACAAAGTGAGAGATCAGTGCTAGCATTTTCAAGCCTCTAGAGTAACCATATTTCACATTCTGCAACCTTTCCACAAATACTGGAACTCTAATGGCAGAAATAATACTATTGACAGTATTGTTGGTCATGATTTACCAAAAGATCCTTTAGTAATAATATTTGGTTACCTTAAATAATACTATTGGCAGTATTGTTGGTCATGATTTACCAAAAGATCCTTTAGTAATACTATTTGGTTACCTTAAATGAGCAGCACCCAGTGAGAATTTCATAATGACCACAGTTTGTATGACCACTTGCCCATAATTGGGTGGGGAAACTGATCCACCTTCTCAGGTACTAAGAACATGTTATCTGGCATATAGGACCAAATTAATAAATATATGGGTCAGAGAAGGCTGACATCACAAGTCCATAAAGAAATTGGCTTTTAAAATTTCTTATTCAAACAACAAAGTTCTTGATGCCATAATCCTGTAGGATGATATCCGACATTGGTAATACTCAGAATAGTCCATTGATTTCATTGGGTCTACTCTATGACTGATATTGAATATTACCCACATACTTTACTAGGTGAAGTATAGTTTTGTTCATGATCCTCAGTAAGACAGAGTGAAAGACAAGAGACAATTACTCATATTATGTTAAATAGTAAGAGTGACATCTATGGACTGCTATGTTAACTACTGATCTGACAGCTTGTGTTTATTTACATGTGTTAACTTGCTTTTTAATGTTTGACTTGCTATTTAAAATTAAATAATAAAAGCAAAAAAGAGCAAACTTAAGAGTATATCGTGTTATAGACAAACTTTAGGCAAATTTTATGTATTTGAGCAATGCTAGCAATTGATAGTTGGTCACAATACAGCTCTGCAGTTAGCATCCCTTTGTTTTCCTGTAGGGAGAACAAGAACCAGCTCTGCAGCAACTGGGAACCAAGCTCTGCTAGATCCCAGCAACCGTGAAGGCTCTGTTCAGCGAGTCCCTCGGCAGCCAAGTGGCAGCAGGCTGCAGAAGGCTGGATGTCCCGTGAAGAGTACATAAATGCTTGGAAGATTGGTGGTTCCAGTATTATGGCGAAATTATGGCAATGTAGTGAATGCACCTAGTCAAGATGGATTTGTAATGTTCCAAAATGTCACATATAGCTCCTATCAAGAAAACAAGTATGAGATGAAGGTTGGTTTCATCACGGTCGGGCTGGTTTTCAAATTCCAAATGTGGTCATAGCTGATGATATAGGATATACTGTTGTAACTCCCTGTTACAGGTGTGTGTCCTTCCTTCATAAAGACATTGTTGGTGCATCTCCCTCTCATTTATTTGTTTTCCTTTTGGGGAATTTAGCAATTAAAGAAAAGCACACCAACTTTTTATAGTATGGAACTGAATCCTCTTACTGTTTACTGAATCCCACTATGCTGCCATTGTTGTTGCATGCCAAAATCTCTTCTAAGTAGTTATAAATGATAAAATCCATAAATAATTAAAATGCACAATGAAACAATTCCAGCAAGGCATCCATAATTAAAATAGACAATGAAACAAGACAGTTAAAAAGCAGAGCAATTAAAACAGTTAAACAAAACAGATCAGGAAGGTCAAGCTCAGGGGAATGCTTGCCTCAGCAGGTTTTGTCTTCACAAGCCAGCAGAATGGAGCTGCTGATCTTGTAGGTGAGCCCAGAGGGCATTCCACAACCCTGGTGCCAGCAGGGAAAAGCTGTCCTCTGCATCACGGAAAGCTGATAAGCATCAGGCTGTGGCAAAACTAAATAAACTTTAAAAAAAAATACTTACAATTTTACAAGGTAGTCCAAGGGCTCTTCTCCCCATCCTGTCCCTTTCCTTTCTAAGCAGCTTCAAAGCTGCAAAGGAAAAGATGAAGAGCAGTCCTTAGATCAGTTGGACAGAAGAGCACATTCCAGAGCATTCCATTTTCTGAGCCACACATTGCTTTGGGAGCTATGGGGAGCTTGGGTTCTTCCTGGAGCAAATCCTCCGTGTCCCTCTTAGCCAGAAATGGCCTTGTAGAGGAGGGGCTGCTACATGGGTGGCAGCAGCCGTCAAAAGGGAAGGGGGGTTAACTGCTTTCCTTCCCCCAAGGGGCCAAGTGGGAGTGAGTTGATGATACAAACACTTAAATGGATATATTAATATCAGAGGCTTAAATCCTTTTTGCTAAAATAAGAAAAAGATGACTGGCATATTATTAAGAGCTGTATATAAATTACCACCACAAATTCTCTTAGAATGTACAGCTTGCTTTTTAGCAACTCTTGAATTTATCAAAGCATGTACATCTTAAGCTGTATATCTTAAATATTGTTATATCCCCCTCTCTAGCCCATGAAACATGAGGTATTTGCTTGGTTTAGAGGTTGCGCTGGGGAAGAGCAGGCCTCTTGCAACTTTGAACAGCTGTGCAGCATGGAGAAATTCAACAGGCTGAGCCTTTTCTAGTGTGGAAATACAATTATGGCTAACAGCTCATCTGCTGACACTCTCTCTGCCATAGTTCTTATTACTTGTGGGTGGCTCCTGACTTTCACACCCCAGTAAGTCAGTGGCCCTATAGTCTTACTAAAGGAGCCCAGGGCAACATAGAAAAAGCTTTCCCACTTCTCTTATACTTGCCAAAGCAAAGTCGACCAGATGGGGGTAGGAATCTGGCCATGGTTTTCTCCACTATGGTGAGATATATTTTATTATTCATTTGCATCTACAATGGTACCTTGGAAGTCGAACGGAATCTGTTCCGGAAGTCCGTTCGACTTCCAAAACATTCGGAAACCAAAGCACGGCTTCTGGTTGGCTGCAGGAGCTTCCTGCACTCAGTCAGAAGCTGCAGAAGTCGCGTTGGACATTCGGGTTCCAAAGAATGTTTGCAAACCGGAACACTCACTTCCAGGTTTGCAGTGTTCGGGAGCCAAAATGTTCGACTCACAAGGCATTCGGGATGCAGGGTACGAATGTATACTTATAAATAGGCATATAAATGTTTATGCAAATAAGTGAAAGCTTATAATATTTGGAACTTTTAAGTTTGGGGCAGACATGATACAGATTTATAGAATTATTCATGGAAGGGAGAAAGTGGGTCAAGGGAAGAGTTGCTCCCTCTTGCATAATACTTGGCAGGGAGTGTGTGTCATCAAATGAACCTGAGAGGTGGGAGATTCAGGAGAGACCAAAGGAGGCACTTCTTCACACGGGATGGGATGGGACAGCTGGCAATGTGTAGAAGGACATCAGCCAAACTCATAAGGTAATGGGTGGCTACCAGTCACGATGGCCACAGTATTGGAGCTCGGGTGCCTCTGAAGGCTAGTTGCTGGGCAACCAGAGGGAGCCCATCTTGAACTCAAGTCCAGTTTCCAGCCTTCGCAGGGTGTCTGGATGGGCCACTGTGGGAGACGGGATGCCGGGCGAGATGAACTTTGGATCTGCTCCAGGAAGGCTTCTCGTAGAGTCCTCCTGGGACTGAGTCTAAAGTCCCTGCCAGGAGGGCCAAATCAGAAGGATCTGAAAGCAGCTGCCCTCTTGAGCAAGATCAGCCTGCGACTCTGCCCTGAGAAAGGCAGCCGACTCATCCTGCAGGGGTGGCGTGTGGCCACCTGACCTCTGCCCTGCAGTGTTTCCTCACCCTTGTTGCTCTGATTGGCAGCCAGCGGGTGAGAGCCCTCGTCCTGATCCTTAGCAACTTCCTCTCGTTTCTGATCCCTCAGACTCACATGCTACTCGGCAGTTTCAACAGAATTTATCTGCTGCCTTGACCTCTCGCCTGCATTCCTGTGTGGCCTTTGCCCTGAATTGCCAGGGCCTCCTCTGAAGCAGAGCAGCTCCTTGTTCTCCTCCACACACACCCCCCAGCTGGGCCGCTGCTTTGAAATCTGCATTCAACTGGACCCTGTTCCTCAAGTGTGTGTTAAAAGAAAACAGAGGCACCTCAGGGTGCCATCCTTGCGCCACCTCCTTTCTTGGTGCCTTCATCCTCTCAATGAAACCATCCATGGACAACCCAGTCTCCTGCTGCTTTTGAACTCCTAGACACGGGACTTGCTGGTGGAGTTGGACTTGGGTGTCTTTGGAGCCTGCGGCCGAGGGGGGGGGACTTATGCCTCCCCAGCTTCCGCCCTCTCTGCCCTCTGGCCGTGCTGCTTGAGGCTCCTGGGAGCTACAGTCCAGCCACATCCCAAGGGGCAGCTGTACAGAGTAGCCTCTTCTGCCCCCTCCCTTGGTTTGAGGGGCTCTGGGCCCTAGCCAAGCCAGCAGCCTTTTAGCCGTCCACAGGCAACCATTGTCAGAGGGCGCCTATATTTTTAAAGCTAGAGACAACAGTTGAATGAAAAGCATTTTTATTTTGCAAACATAGGCATGGCTGAAACCCCAGCATAAGCACCGCTATTGCAGAAACAGATAAAAGAAAGGACTCCGTGCAGCACATAGTTAAAGGATGGAACACGTTCCCACAGGAGGCAGTGGTGATCCCCAGCCACGATGGGCACCGTCTTGGAGGAGCAGGAGAGGGCTGTCAATGTCTGTCGATGGCTAGCAGCCACAGTGACTCTGTTCTGCCTTCTCAGCTGGAGGCGGCCAGGCTTCTGAATCCCAGTTGCTGGAAACCTTTGGCCTTTTAAACTGGAGGGGGTGGGGCTATTGTTTTTATTTTATTATTTATTATTTTATAATAATAATAATAAATTTTATTTATTTATTTTATTATTTCTTATTTTATTTATTTTCATGGTTCTCTATTGAAAACTGCCCTGGGACCCTCGGATGAAGGGCGGTATAGTAATTTAAGAAATAAAAGCCACAGGTGGGAAAGAGCTCTTGCTTGCGGGATTCCTATGTGCATTTGTTCAGCCACGGTGAGAACGAGATGCTGGACCAGGTGGGCCATTGGCCTGATCTGTCTGCCAGCCTTTTCTTCGGTTCTTGCATTATGTGAGGGGCTAGCAGAGGAGACTTTTGTGAACCCTTTCCTCCCTGGCATTTTCTTGATCTAAATACCTCTGTCTTAGTGCTATTTCCCTAGCTGGCGAAAACACCGTATAGAAAGTGAGCATTTTGTCTCTTGCAGAGGGTGGAAAGGGAGAGGAAGAAGCAGAAGGGCTCTTCCTTGGGATGGGAACCCCTGAGGGCAGCAAGGCTCAGGCCTTAGAGATGACTGGTGTCTTCAAAGTAAGGAATCCCCAGGAATAATGCTGCAAAAAAAGGTGTTCAAGCCTGTTAGATCCGTCAGTGTGCTATGACCTTTAGTTGGGAAATAGTGAAGTACATCCCACTGGCTTCTTTGATAAGGGTGGGGAGGGACTTAGTTGGGCTTTGCTGTGGGGGCTCAGGGAATCGCTTTAAAAGCCAGTGGGGTTTGCGAGGAATTCACTCCCCAGCTTAGCTTGACTCTCCAGCCAGCCTGTGAAAATGTTCCGGCTTTTCAGCAATGCAAAGCGCTGCTGGCCGATGAAACGGACATTGCAAAGGCCCCCTGGGCGAGTCCATTTGCCAGCAATGGTGCAGCAAAACAGGTAAGGAGGGGGGAGGGGGCAGCCTTGACAGCCTCAGTCTGTGTAAACAGGACATTTTGCACAAGTTTTGAAATATATAAATGATCTGCCTAGAAGGCTTTGACAAAATGATGATGCTCTAAGGAATGCAGGAGTTAACAAAGGGCAGCAGGCGTACATTTTCTCTAGACTCACCTGCATCCTACTTGAAAATGGAAAACAGGCCATTCTGAAAAGTCCTTTTCCGTACAACAACCACACCAGTTTTTTGTGGGGTTTTTTATGTCACACCTTCCAAAACAATTACCACCAGTTCCTTTCCAACTTTTGGGAGAGTATTTGTGGATTTTCATACCTGGAGGCTGCCAGTACAAAGGAACCAATAGCTCAAGGGGGTGCCTCATGAAAGCACTCATGAAAATCTTTCTACATGACAAAAAGAGGAATATTGATACCTGGCTGCATTTCCCATATTTTAGCTGCACCAATAGCCTGAATCCAGCAAACATTTTCACAGAAGTGTTTTGCAGGCAGAATCCACAAGTAGGAGACAAAGTTCCTACTGCTCCTGCTCAGAGATCCTGACTGCAGAATCCATGGATGGACTTGGGCTTCCTTCACAACATTGTGACCCTGTATTCCTTCCTGCACACAAATCCCTTAAGGGAGAAAACGTTCTGCATCCAAACTGACCTTAGACCAGGCACTGAGTGATGGGGGAAAGTGGATTGACAAAGTGGAGACACTAGCAGAGGAACCGGAGAACATGTTTGCTTTTCTGTTTGACTGATCATTAAATTTATTATGCCCTCCTTTTCTTTATAAAATAAACTCAAATTAGCTACCAAAAAAGTTCAAAA